CACATTCAGTTTTTGCAAACAAGATGTCAGAGGTGAAAATTCTCATCTCTTCAAAATGGGACTAGAAACCAGTAGCTATGTCCATCTATGACTTATGTGCTAGCTGACCAGCCTTAGCTTGCTTTCTAATGTACTTTCTTTCTGAGAAAAATACCTGAAGACAGCATCACTGTTCTGTCCTCATATGAACTTTGTGTTGAAATCGGTGTTGTACTGGGACCTTCGGTGACATTAGTGGAATCCATATCTAATCTAATGTTAGCTAGTGTTCTTCAGTGATGCCACTGACCAGAGTCACTGGAGCGATAAGCCAGTGAGGCTGAACGTCAAATCAATATGTTAGAGGATGAAAAAAGCCACATGGGCCTACTGTACTTTTAAGAACATTTATACATCAACCATAAAATGTAGCAATAAAATAATATAATGGACTTTTTTCAGGTCATTCCAGGTCACAATTAAAACTGCTCAGCTCCATCTTTCTTCCTAAGCAAATCAAACCAGTGTAAATCACTTCAGACACACCGTGACAGGACAGTTTTTCTTTTTATCTCAGCTCTTGGTCCCTGTGTCCTCGGCGGCTATCGATGGTCTTTGATGAGACCCCTGAGTGATTACAGCCGGGCTTCACCTCTGTGCCCCAAGCGCCCCACAACCTCGCCTAATTTGTTTTCTCGCCAAGCAATTAAAAATGCAGCATGAAGGAAAGGGCTGATCAATGATACCTGGCAGCCACAGAGGAAAAGGCTCAGGCTGTCCGGCCATCCATCTGTGGCCACCTGCTGTCCATTTATCTGTCCATCCACATAAGCACATAAGTTCCTTCTTTAATCTACCGTCACCCACTGCTGACCTTGGGATAAATAAGTGTTTGTCTTGCTACGTCTGTGCGTGTGGTTGACAGGTCAAGGTGGTAAAGTTGTTTGTGCAGGCTTGCGTGTATGTTCCTCTCTGGAGGTTAAGGCCACAGTGTGAAGCAAAGCACTCACATGTATTAACACACAGCTATACACACTCAATGGCATTGAGCACCTAGAGTGAAAGAAGTGTCTGTTTTATCAGCCAGAAAGGCCACCACAACAAACACACAAACAAAGTCCAATAGTCATAAAACATGGATTTCGTTTAGTTTACAAAATATGGATTGTAATGGGCATACAGGTCTACAGTTTACAACAGATAAAAACAAGTGATGGTAAATGTGAACACAGGCCTATTAACATTATTCATGGAATGCCTTTGAATTTAATCAAATAGTCAAAGGATTTTCAAAGAAAGAAAAAAGCTAAGAAGAAAAATGAAGATGTCCAGTTTTTAAATGAATGCATAAACTGAAAGACTGCATGACTGTGGAGTAACAGGTAATATACAGGTGTAATAGGAAGCCGCTGAGCTAGCGAACTGCCTCATCGCAAAATGCGTCTATTTCATGTATGAATTTCCATAGTTACTGTTTTTGCTCGTTGCCAAAAAGCAGCAGCGAGTGTGGGAGAAAAGCGAGCAGAAGCCCACCAAAAAGTGGACACCCACTTGGAGTTGGACGGCTTTAGATCAGCAGCAGTAACTGCTCCACAAAGGCAGAATTAAAAAGAAAAAAAAAACTGTTTGTGTGCTGTTGCAAAAAGGCTGAGTTTCTGATTGCCTTTCTAAATTCCAAATTCTTAAAAAAAATGTTTCTTGTGAAACATAATCCCACAAAATCAGAGACACAAGGTCAAGGCACAGGATGGCAAGAAAGAAGCAATCAGAAGAATTTTGATTTTCACATTTTTTTCTTACCTCTTATTTAAAGGTTTTAAGACAATTTGCCTGCGAGAAGTGTTTCATAACATGAAGATAGAACATCTACACTCCTTTATACAGCACAGATGTAGTTTGAGTACTGTTTAAGATGTAATCTAGAAGGACGACAGAAATGATGGAAAGCTAAACTGGAGCAATGATGACACTGTCCTATCCTGTGACCGGTCCTCTGTATTGCTGCCATTTAGAGAATCCAATTAGATAAGACCTCAAGCAAATGTCATCAAGACCAGCTGCTTGGAATCCCTCACTCTGGACAGATGGATCTACGTGAGCCACCTGCTGGGATGTTGTCTTTCTGTCTGTGTGTGTGTGGCAGGAGTATTATGTACCTTTGTGTACATCCATGTATTTGTGTTTTCATCTGTGTCATTAGCACAATTAACAGCTCATGTAGAAGAACTGAGACTGAAGGACTGAAGACTTCAGTGTGTCCCCCGAGTATGGTGATTACATTTGTGTTGATGAGCCAGATGCTGCACATGAAGCTAACTATGTTTGCTAAACGTGTGCTCTCTTCACATGATGGCAAATATCAAAATTGTATTACTTGGCTTCTAAATCAAGATGTTGTCACTCAGGATATCTGAAAGCCTGGATGCACTGCACAGGATACAGGATGAAAAAATGTACGGAGGGAATCCCTTAAATAATTGTTTTTAAATAATACATGACTTCTTTTTATTTCCATCAATCCATCCATCATATCTCTAAGGCTGATCCCAGACACTTTTCAGAGGAACCTCATTTCTGCTGCTTGTATCCCAAGCTTCATTGTTTTGGTCACTACCCAGAGCTCAGGACCAAAGGTGAACGTAGAAATGTAGATCAGCAGGTAAACTCTCTGTATCACCGTAGACGTAACACCATTACGTCTTACTAGGATGGTCAAAATACCCCCGAACTCCTAAAGAACACACAAGTTCATTATAAAAACAGAACTTTTTAAAACTGTAAAACTTAAAACGTCACAATTACTTCAATTGGAAGTAATATAGTTATGCTGCTGTCTCATCTAGCAAAGTTCTAAATGTGGGGCTGCTGTACTTTTAAGATCACGAATTCTCCAACTTTTAAAATATAACAATATCGGTGTCAGCTGGCTGGATAAGCAAATGTGTTTTATCATAGATTTAGATGAACAAAGGTGAACTCTGACCTGTGAGTCTGCCAGAGCCTACACAGAGACAGGGATCACATTTGGTTTTATATGATGTCAATGAAAGTCAGAGTGAATATTCAAAGGGTTTCCCAGCATGACCCTAGGGCAGTTAAAGCAGATATTTAAGCTGGTTTGGCACATCGGTCTAAAGGCAGCGTGTGCTTCGTGCGCTCCGAGAACATACAGGATGAATTTCTGTAGACTGAATCCCATTTGTCAGGAGAGCTAGATTCGCCAGAATGTCAACTTTGACAGTTATGACATCCACAAAAGGGTGCATAACCTGTTGTGTTTAATCTCTCTATAACATATTATTATTGGAATAGAGACATGGAATAATTTCATTATGGCTAAAAGTTCACGGTCATCTATTTCCTCACCATTGGGACCCATCTTCCTGGGCTTTCAATTAGTCGAGACCATTTCATGGTAATGCTGCCATGATAAGCAGCAAATGACCAGCTCAATTACGCTGCACACAAATGAAGCAGCAGTGGAACATTTTGAATTATGATGGGCAGTTACCTCTACACTCGTATAGCCTTTCAGCGACCTCTTCCTTTTGCTTTCATCTCTCTGTCTTCTCTCATTTGCTCTAATTATTCTTCACACTCTTTCCTTCTTTCTCTTTTTATTCCCTGATTTGAGTGGGAGTAATTAATTAAGACATGAGTCATAGGATGCAGGAATTATCCTTACTGGCAGCTTGTTAGAAATCACACTTCATTGTACAGGACCTGCTTAACTGTTGTTGAAAAAAAACCCCAACAACAATGCTGTCTTGGAAATGATGTGTGGATGGTCATGACCTCTAATGGGTCACAAGTATGTAATAAAGCAAACTGTGAAAGAGAAGAGATCCTTCTCCTTCTCTGTGAGGGTCAGCGGGAACTATCCCCTCATACACTGCAGCATCATGTGGCACACTATCTGCCTATTCCACACAGCCGAGAGGACCCAAGTTGCAAGTGTAGACGGTCCAGCTCATAACAGCAGAATATAAAAAGTGAGTGGTTGAGATAGCGTGCAGGATATCAGTTAGTACCCAACTCCTGATGGAAGATTGCTAAAAGTAGCTGAGAACAACAACGCTAAGGTGCTGTGGGACTTCAAGTTCAGGTAAGTACAAGTACACTGTAAGTGCCCTGTACTTTCTGGGGCGCTGTCCATGTTATGGAGTAACTAAAGTATAAGTACCCTGCACTTACAGTGTACTTGTTTCATTGTTTCTTGCAAAAACCTGACATGTTGCCTACAAATTGTACGCAAGTACACGGTATTTGTGCCTTATTTGTGGGTCGTGTTATAAAGTGTTACCCAAGTTTAACCAGACATAATGGTGGCTGACAAGGAACAGAAGAGCACAGGTGTGATAGATGTGATAGGAACATGCTCCTTGTTATCTAAAATATAACCGGATGGTGGCGTAAATTCTCGACCATCTCACACTTCTGTTTAATCAGTTTTCTGTTTGACATTTATTCAGCTGTATGAAAACCCTGGAGGAACCCTCCCGAGGGATTAATAAAGTTTTATTTAATCTAATCTAATAACTTTAATCTCAGCCAAACCGATTTACTCACGAACAAATAAAACACTGAAAAAGCCAAACAATAACAGTTTTAAGTTATCAAAGATACTTATATATCATGTTTAACCTGAGTAGCGAAAGACCGCGGGGGGTTGAAAACGATGTGCCAGGAGTTCACTGTTCTCGCCGGCTCAGATATTTGAAGTTTACACAGCTACATTCTCGCCTGAAAATATGCTAAAAGTTCATTTTGCACCAGAAAGAGAAATAAGATTAATATTAAAACTAAGTATGCCGCCATTGTTGGAAACTGGAATTGGCTGGCCGCGCTATGAATTCTGGATATGGTTTTTCAATTTTGTTGTCCGGGTGGAAAATCAGGAGAAATTCAGAATGGTGGCTCCGGGAGATTTTCGGGAGGGGCACTGAAATTCGGGATTCTCCCGGAAAAATCGGGAGGGTTGGCATGTATGCCAGCACTGCTCACAGAGCTTGAACAGACTTACCACACACGATAATAGTGGGTGTCAGAGGCACTTGCTCCAGTTGTACCTCATCTGCCAGACATGTATCTTCAACACAGAGAAGCATGGACTCCTCCTTCTCTTCAAAGTAGCTGAGCAGAAGCAGGACCATCTCTTTCACATCATCTGAGCAGCCACTCTGCGGTCCCCGCATCCTCTGAAGCCTTGCATAAGTCTGAAGGAACACCTTGCTTTTGCTGACAGCAACTGTGGTCAAGTAGTCCAGTAGCCTTTTCCCCTTCAAATCCAAATTTTGTGTGAATGTCTGTTTGAGGTCAATCCCAGTAAGTTCGTTGAAGTGGACAGACATGCCAAGTTCATCAAACCACTGGCCACTCCTCTCTAAGGCATTTGATACTTTTCCCCTGATTGACATGTTGACGCTGTGTGTAATAAGTGGACTTCATTAGACTTTTTACCTCTTCTGGATTGGCGTCAGCTTGCTGGAACATCACCTTGAGTTTTTCCATGTTTTGCTGTTGGCTCTCTGAAGTTTTTTCAAGAGGCAGAAATTCTACATCCCATTTAATGCACCCATATGTATCCTGCATTGCTGCTCTTTCTTCTAAAGAGATCTCGTCTGTGTGGTCTGAGTCAGTCTGATGTTTTCTTTTTCTTATTTTGGGTGTTGAAGTGCGCCTTACATTTTCAATTCTGTTCTGCAACAGTTTGATAAGGGTAAGGTAGCCTGCGCCAACAATATCACCCTCTATTACATCTTGCAGAGAATTGGGATATTTTGCCACCATTTTTTTTGCAATGTCAATTGAATGTTTTCTACCTACATGAGGGCATTTTTCCATCATTTCAGTCACAACAATCCGGACCATTTGCCTCCTCAGTTTTGGGCGAGGCCTTTTCCTCCTCTCAAGAAAGAGCATCACTTCTGCAGGAAGTTTACTCCATAGAATTTCAAAGTTGTCATCCCAATGTGTGTCACATCCTGGGCTGCTGGAGGAGGTCGATGATAGACTTTGGGGTGAAACAGAGAGCAATGACAACGACTGGGTGGGTGAGGCTTGCAGAGGTGATAGCGAGCTGTTCTCTGGAGTTTGGGCAAAAACACAATTATGATTCACACTGTATGTCTGTCCATGACCATCTCTACTTTTGATTTTGAATAGTTGTCTGTTGTTTTCACTTACATTTCTGTTTCCAAGCAGAAATAAGCTTTCTTGCTTGTACAGGTCTCAATGCTGTCATCAAATCTGCCTCCGTTACCAAGCCTAGATCATCACTTGTCTCAACTCCAATGGACTGCAAGTGCTCTTCCAGGATGTTTTTGTTCACCGCTTGAAGCTCTGGTAGGACTTCCGTGATGGCGACATAGGAAGGCACTGAAGAAGAAATGCCACCTCCAAACAAAATAGAAAATCACATACAGTTCATACACTTAATGGAGCAGGGTATGGATCAGGTAACACTTATATTAATGTTAAACTATTAGTTGGACATTATTTTGCCACAATACTATGCTTTAGTGGAATGACTCTGTATTCTTGAAGAATGTATGATACCAAAGGATAGAAATCAGGCAGGTCATTATTGTTGATACACTGTAACCCAAGACTGTCCTTTGTCACAGAATACAGATGGTATTCAGAGAGTAAGATGCCTTTGTGGATATCCATTAGAACATACACAGATGAGTCATTTTGAATCAAGATGAGTAGAAGTTCACCAAACTCCATACACTCGTCATTTCTGTACACAAGAAACTGTCCCTTTTTATATGCAGTGCCTTTGTACTGAATGTCTGTGGTAACTGTGGTACTGCTTTCTGAAAAAGCTAACTCCCTGACTGCATGCTGAATAGTGTGACTGTAGAGGTTGGGATAAAACACACAGCTCTCCTTCACTTGCAGCAGTTCACGGCATTCTTGCCCTGCTAAAAGATAAGCCTGATACATCTGATGACGTGTTGACAAAGTTTGACAAATATTTTTGAAGCTTTTCAAGTGTCTGGCACATCTTTTGAAGTAACTGTGTTTACATTCAAACCTAAGCATCCATAACCTCATCAATGGACCAAATTTCAACAACAGTGCTGAATAATGGCGCAAATAGTGGTGCTTGGGTTTTAGTTTAATTCCCCCCCCCCCCCAACAGCCCTTTTGAATGTCTCCCTAGTATGGCCACAACACCTCAGTCTTGGAGCACTTTTTTGCCACATGTATCGCAAACCAGGTCTCAGCTGTTTGTGGAGGTAAAATAAGTCCGCACATGACTCCGATTATGCTCAGCCATTGCTGTGAGTGCGCACGCCAAGCGGCTGCAAGACATTTATACAGCCGTATTTCGCACATGACTACGAAAGACGGAAGAGGAAGTAGTTCCTTTGAATGTAGACAATCCGAATGTTATAGTTTCTTTCCACTGTGTTCCTATTAATGATAAACTACAAATTTATCCTAAATTACTAAAATATCGACATTTTAATTGGAGAATCGATTCTAGAACATAAATGATTGGTATTGGAGGAATCGATATTTCAGGATCGATCTGCACATCACTAGCCTACAGTAGCTTACAGCTCTGTGGAGAGGAGGCACCATAGAAATCCTATGGGAGGCACTGTAAGTTTGTTTAGCTTGTAATAATGAGACATTGCTAACCTAACGCAAAACAGTAGTCTAGTCTAAGTATCACACTGCAATTAAAAGAAACATAAAGAATACAAGCATTATGACAGAAGCATTACTTAGTCGTTAAATAATAATTTCTTATTGGTTACCCTACAATAGGCTGCAAATAGCCCGAATGATTTAAGAAAAAAACATGATGTAAACAATTTTAATTGTATATTTTTATTAGCCTATAAATGGAGAGGCAACCTCTCAGGTTCACAATGACATCTTCTGTGAAAACATTTTTATTAGTCCTATCCATGATTTGCATCATTTCATGAATCATGTTAAAAGTAGGCCCAGTTACATCCATGCATAAGTTGTAAAGTGACTTACATATAATTCTTGTATTTTTAAAAACAACTGACTAAAACTATAATTTTTATAATATTTGCATGTCAAATTAACATAATTGTTTTGTTATGAGTATTAAAGTATTTCACTGTTTTTTTCAATATTTGTAGTTTTAACAAATAAATTTGATTATAATCACACATTGATGTTGTAAATATAACAAAAACATTCTGTTTAATAGTTTACAAAAGTCCACTGTGATTGAAGCAGAAACATTGTGTTTTTGAGTTTACTATACTTTTCTGTAGGGATTTTACATGGTTTTTATGTCAAATTCACTGCCATTTCTTACAGTGTAGAGCACAGGTCAGGAAACGAGACACAGGCGCAGACGATCTGGAATCATGGGAAGATAGAAGGAAGCAAAGCTCAACGCAAGACTCCAAAGAAACCATCTGACAAATTACAATAAGAACCCAGAAAAATCATAATTAAGCATGAATACAAAAAAAGTCAGAGGCAAGGAAACACCATAGGACAAAGGCACAAATAAAAGACGAGGCAGAGGAAAGAACAGATAGGAAAACAGTGAGAGGAGCTACACATAATAAAACAGAAAATGAAGCTGAAAACGAAAGATTCAGAACAAACATTAAAACCAGAATCCATCTCAACAGGCATTCAAGGTCCAAGAACACAATAAAACACAGTACGCACTGGAAATATGAAGGAAAGTAAACAGAACTCCAAAACTCTGGGTACGAATCAGACTCAGACCCACATTCTTATTGTTTATCTTCTGCACTTACTTCCAATATCATTTGTAAATATAATAAACTTCTGTTCAGCTCAAAGAAACTGATGAACCCTGCAAAACAATAGCAACCAAAATGTTTATTTCTCTGAATTCAACCTGAAATCAACCTGAAATTTATTCACCTTTGTTTCATTTAGAACATTCATCAAAACAAAGCCAAAAAAAGAATGTGCTTTAAAACAGAGAAAAAACATCACCATAAGGCTCGCATTATGTCTGATAGAGATGCACCGATGGCTTCTATATCGCTCTAGATTAGAAAAGCCTCTGTTCTCATGACTATATATATATATATATATATATATATATATATATATATATATATATATACATAATGCATGAGTTAACATACAGTGTTCTTCAGCAGCATTCTTTAGAAATTGCTTAAACCTTTAATATGATGCTTGTTCTGCTGTTGATCAAGGATGTTAAGTTTATCTAACTGTTGCACTCAGATTAAGTCACACTGGATACAGATTTTACACGAAATGTAAATGCAAGGAAAAAGTGAGGACCAACCTGACACACGTTTAGCATTTAAAGTGCTGTACGTCCTTTGATGTAGCTTCCTAACTATGGTAATACTTTTTATTTTCCAGCAGGGAGAAATCATGACAGCTGTTCTTCACTGACTCAGCTGAGGCACATCAAAGGCTCTTTATACACCAAGAAGAGGATATCACCACGTCCTCAGGAGGTAACCCCAAATGAATGAAGCCACTATAAAGCGGGATTTAAAATTTTATTTTTTTAAAGATTTATTTTGTATATCACTTGGATACTTGCCTTAAGTATGAGTCAAGAGTGAATTTACTAAAGAGGTGATTATGAAAGTGGGAGGATTCCTGTAAAGTTTTATGCACATATTTGCCTTATCCGACAATTAAATTTGCCAACGTAATGCAAATGTTAATAGGAAATGTAAAGTTACACTTTTGAAAACATCCATCAATTACAATTATTATAAACACTCTCTACTTTTAAGCTTGGGATTACATTTTCCTTTTGGAGAAAGCTTAAAGTTAGGTTGGGATCAGCTGACCCTGACCATGCTGCAATAGACCTAGACTGCTGTGGGAATTCCAATGTTGCACTGTTTCTTCTTCACTCACGTCTTTTCACAGCCCATGCATTTATACACAACTCTGCATTTAATCACTGGTTATTATTATCCTCTGGCTCTCTGCCACAGTGATTCTTTTGCCTTGTCTTCCCTCTCTCCCCTCCACCCGGTGGCAGATGGCCACCCTTGCCTGAGCCTGGTCCTGCTGGAGGTTTCTGTCTTTTAAAGGGAGTTTTTTCCCCACTCTCACCAAGTGCTTGCTCATTGGGGGGTCATCTGATTGTTGGAGTTTTCTCAGTTTTCTTTGTATTATTGTAGGTTCTTTACCTTTAAATACAAATCAAAAACAATGCTGGAGGTGAGCGTTGTTGTGATTTGGTGTTATATAAATAAAATTGGACTGGATTATTGCACCGTCTTGACTAAGTACATTTTAAGTTATACATGTTGCATATGGCAAAACTAAGATAATATACTCATAATATACAAAGTGTGAGGAAAAAATGTGAGAAATTGACTCTCATGTTCAGGAGCATAGCGTGGCAGTCTGCCCCGTTCTCCGTGCAGCTGCTATTTTTAGATTTCTCACTTGAATGTTCCCTTGCATGTGTGCCTCTGAGATGTGTGCTGGATCTCTTCCACTGTGTCAAATGGCGACCCTTCAACTTGATTTTCATTTTTCGTGAAGTGGACAAAGTTGCTGGGAGGCAAATCTGATGAGTGGTCCAGGTGGTGAGCAAAGATTGTTTGTATGGCCAAAAAAACTCCTGCATTTTAGATGCGCTCTTAGCTGGCACGAGATGACAGGTTGGCATGCACCGCAGGTCAGAGCTGTTCCTCTGAATGTCCTTCCTCATGTGCCTCAGGTCAGTACAGTAGAGGCTATCCTGGGGGATGACTTTATGGTGAATAGTATGATGAATATTGAGAAAAATGACAAATTCTCTCCCAGCACATGAAATTCCAATCAGTTTCAGTTGGAAGCACAAGTTGCCTTTGCTGTCTGTGCAAGTTTTTGGTCTGTAGTGAAATCTCAGCACACACTGTATAAGTGATCAAAACAGGACTTCCAGGGAGAGATATAAAATTTGCAGCCATGCTGGAAGCTCCCTGCACATGGAACAAAAGCTCACGCTGCATGGGATCTACATAATCCAAATCAGATATGGCTTTTGACTCTTTTGGGCCTTTTCTCTGAGCCTTTTGAATACAAGCAGCATATGAAATGTTATAGCAGTAACATTAAATTATAGTGTGTAGGTATGAGCAGGTTGAAGTGATGGTTTCTCCAACTGTGTTGGAGTTTTCTGAAGGAAACCCTAAGATTTCACATGGAGCCCAGATGATTTACCAAATGAAGACACTCACATCATTGTGTGAAGTGCACAGTGCACAATACTCAAGTTCCTGATGCCTCTGAGAGAGAACATTATAATTAGAATCAGAATAACTTTATTGTCCTCGTCAGAGTAATTGTCATAATAAAAACATTGATAACAATCAGGACACATACAAACGTATATACAAATGAAACGTCAATACAATTATAGACAT